TTAGTGGTCAAGTGGTATAAATCTGTAGGCCGCTGGTTTGATTCCAAGCGAGATCGTTTTCAGACCCAGATGCCATTAGGCTACCAGTTAATGATGCTATCTAAATAAAGGATAGTAACAAGACCAGAGTTCAGGGTTTGGACCATTCCCTCCAAAAATATTTTAAATGCCATGGGCATAGATTTATATAGGAATCTATCTATCCATCTATACTATTATAAAGAAGAGGTGGTGTCTGTGTGTGTGTGTGTGTTTGTATGAGGTAATCTCAAAAACTACTGAACCGACTGGGCTCAAATTGCACACAAATGAAGCTACAGCTCCGAGGATACATATAGAACTATTCCCGCTTCGATATTGTCCTAAGGCTCTGCCCCGTGGGCTTTCAAAAATTTGAGGTGAGAGTTTAAAAGTAAATATTGATTGATGGTATCCATGGTAACAAAGAACAAACCTACAAAGTTTAAAAATGTAAACAAGCAGAACTAACTGTCAAATGAATTTTGATTTCACAATTCCACACAGCTGGTTCAAACATATTAAATACTACACGAATATTAGAACAGAGAGGGTAAGGATTATAAATTTAAAATAATTATGTCACTAAGCCCGAATGTAAACATTATTTAACATTACTTAAATGGAGCTGTCAAACCATATGTTAATGTAATTTCATTAGTGTATGATTCTTTCAGTTACTTCATTTGTTTATGTTTATGATCTATTATACTGAGTCTGTTCTAATATTTGTGAAATGCTGTAATAATATTTTACAGGGAATAAATCTTTGTAAATAAATTGTTCATGGATATAGGAAATAATTAAGATTCTATAATCAGAAAGTTTTGGATGTACGGATGTATAGATGTATGGATGTATGGATGGATGTTTGTGACAAGTAAAGGCGAAAAATACTAAAGCGACAAGGTTGAAATTTAGTATGATGATAGCTGACATTCCCGATTAACATATAGACATATTATTCTTACCTCAAAAATCCTTTAAGGCTCCGCCCTAGTGGCTCTGGCTCTGGAGTTTCTCATGTAAACCCTATGAGTATTCATATTTAAAGAAATTAATGAATTTTGTCAGCCGTTTCAACTTTACAAGTTGGTTCTATGATATTAAATAGCATTAAAAAGGTATAAGGCTTACCAACAGGGTGCAGCACTATTATGTTTTTTGCATTTATGACCAGAGCTAATTTTAACCAACTAGCAACAAAAAGTTGTGGTACACAATGAGAACTTAACTTTTTTTCATGGTTTAGGTGCAGTGGTAGAATATTAGGGCTATGGTAGATACTATAGGACACTACATGATACTATATAATACCGTTTAAATTAAAAGACCAAATTTTAATAAACCGTGTCCTCTCCCATAGCTAAAAGCATTTATACTTATATGCCAACCCCGTACGAAGGACGGGTACTCTGCTAGTGCAAAATAAAAATGAAAAACTTATGCTTGGTGATATAAGAAAGCAACAAACAGGTGTAGTTTAGTTAGTTTTTGATATCAACATTTTGAATTTTTAATAAAAACATAAATTTATTTTGTTTTGCGCTTTAAATTGTAAATATGAATGTTACGACGACTGTAATGTTATGTAAATTTTAAACAAAGGTAGCTTAAAAATTATTACAAATTTAAGATGTCAACCAATTATCTAATCTTGAGTCGATATTAGCCTACAATAAATCTAATTTGTTTATAACCACCAAATTTCAGAAATATCATGTTTTAAGATAATTATAAGTATACATTTACACAAATTACCGTTGAGATGACCTGGTGTCAGTGGAATTCTAAAACATCTGACTTAATATTAAATTTGTGCTTGCACTTGGTATGAACACTATAACAAGGCTCGAGTGATATGCTTAAAGAGTCGATTTATAGGACTGGGCTGACCTACAGTAAGCAAAGCTTTTCAGAGGCAAATCTTTTGGATTAATCTCTTGTTTTGTTATATTATAACTGTTTCTTGAATTTAAAAATTTTTATGTATTAAACTTAAAAGAGCTATTTAAAAATAATACGCTACACTAGGCCTATACGAGGCATCCCGAGGCGTAAGTAAAAAAAATAGGAATAGGGAATGGGTAAAAAAAAAATAAAAATCAAGAATAATTTTTTTGAAATAACTCGTTATTCAATTTTATTTTTTATGTTTTAAATTTTTATCTCAAAAACGATTGAAGATATCTTTATAAAATTTAGTATGCATTTTTATAAAGTCATCATCTATTTAAAAAAATCAATAAAAATGTTTTGGTTCCAAAATCGGACATTTAAATTTTTATGACCTTAGATTTTACAAAAAAATGGCTGAGATTATGAACAAATCCTAGAACCACTGTTGTTTGGCATTCAACATTCCCTATTAAAACACCAAGTATAAAAACATTGATTGATAAATCGCTAAAAAAATCTTAATTTTTAGTTATTGGCAAAACTTCTGAGGAAAAAGTAAGCGTAGGCCTACCGGTACTGTATTTCCAAATATCTCAACAACTTTTAGACCTACAAAATTTAAAAATTGCTAGAAATTTCAGATAAAACCTGGTTTGATGTGTATTTAAACATTTGAAAAATATCTTAAGTTTTGTACACTCCCACAAAAGTTCTCCAAAAAGATCTGCCCCTGTAAGTTTATTAAATTATTACTTAAGAATTTAGTTGTGTATTAAGCCTCTATACTATGAAGCTAAAATTTGATGAAAACACCTGAATACGCAGTATTTTACTTGTTACTTGTCTATTTAGGGCTAACATGCTGTGGCCCCACAATATTTAAAATGAACAATGAAAAATGAAATCTAGTACCAAATCAGTCTCCTAATTCATACATGGCTTTTGCTACTACAAAATTTATTAATATTAATTACTATATAACTTAAAAGAAAAGAGAATACAATAAATTAATTTATATTAAGTATAATTAAATTTATTATATTTACTATAAATTTATTACTTATGGTATATATTTAGTTTTAAAACTATCCTCTATAATTCTGTTCTACTCAAATATTTTTTTTTTCAATTTACTTATTCTCTAACTTATTGGACTTTTTGTGTACAGTACTATGAAAAAAATGTATCCTGTATGGGCACATTGATCTCTACTGTGGACTTAAATTCAAACGCAATCTTTGACAGATGCAAAAAGTTACTGACTACCTAAATAAGCTATATTAAAGGTTTTTAAACATTGGATTTATTTTCTATAAAACATTAATTACTTAGGTTCAATGACAGTACAAATAATTTTTAATTGGTGTCGCGTTGCTAAGATCAGCTAGATGACCATCGGACCACTTAATTTACAATATTCACAACAATAAATAATTATTAAAGCACTTATTGTTAACATTCAGTTAAAATTTCAGTTCTAACTTATAATAATCATTCTAAACAGATTCATACTTAGACCTAATATTTACAATAAGGTCAATCAAGCTATAACTAGAATCACATCTTGACAAGTATTAAAGTCAAAGTCTAGAGTACACAGAGAACACTTAATTACTGCACATAGAGTACAAGAACGAGGGATGATGTTTCTGATACCTGCTTGATAAGATGCAACACGATTTAACGATTTCCTTATTTATTAACAGAAGAATTTCAAGCTAAAGATTTTTTACCACATGAATAACCTAAATAGTTATTTTTGTGTAACAAGTGGGCGAAGTGGCAATTTGCTGCACACAAAATGTTTCCGCATGAGCCGTAGGCGAGTGTGGAAGGTTTCTCGAGTGCAGCAAAGGCAGCTTGCACTCGCGTTTCACATTATATTTTTCCTACAGTTACTATAAAGCATATATAAATAATTTAGTATTTTAAACACTGTACAACACGTTTTTAGGTTAAGTTAAATCCAAACATTGAACAAAATGGGAAACCTGCACCAGCTGACTGTAATATCTTTAAGTGTTGCCAACTTATTTTCAAGCGTACAAGTATTATATTGTGCCTAATAAAAGCACACTGTTTTGTATTGTTTGGTTGGAATACTGGTGTGGCAACAAAAAAAAAACTGTGCAGCAAAAGTAAGTAGATTAGCAATTAGCAACTTTCTGTGCTATAATCAGTCCAAGGAAGGCCACTTTGATAGGTGAAAATATATACTGTAGGAAAAATATATTGCCATTAGGCAACATAAAAATAGTCTTTTTGTACCACATTCTTTTATGAATGTAAAAATAAAATAAAATAAGACAATACCATCATATCTGATGCTTTGAGTAATACTTTGAAGTCAGATGAGTGACTTAGACTTCTGTTTCAGTTTTGATGTTCAAAGTACAAATTTAGAGCTAGGTGGTGCTTAAAATTTATGAATAAAACATTACCGGTATACAAATTCAGGCAGACATTGACAATGTATGTAGCAATATCGAATCAGCGAATTTCATTCAAAAATATGTATGTATGTAGGATTAGGTCTCTATGTATATGTATAGTGGTGTGTATTGCCACATTATGGTACAGTTACAGTAAAACATGTCCAATGGTGAAACAGTTATTCAAGCATAAATGTATATTTGAATGTTTGTTTATATTTGCTCGATAGTGATGACAAACAAATAACATTATTTTTTCTTTGTAGCTAAGGAGTTTTGGAGTCCTCCCTCTTTACTTTTACTACTTCTCAAGACATTGATTACAGATTTCCATGATATTTGCTGTCTTAAGTTTCCGTTTAACATGTGGGATAATAATTCACAAAAATCTTTATATATAGTAGTTCACATTTCTGCGGTCTACCTTAGAACAGTCACAATGATAACTTGGAATCAATATCTTGAGAAATAAAAAAACGGTAGTGTCTGGGGGGGTCTCTCATAAAACTCAACCTATATACATTTGCAAACAAGAGGTTCTTTTGTTCAGTACGGTATATTTTTTTTACACATACAGAATCAGGCTTTTGATTATTGATAGAACTAAACATTTTGCATCCAAGTTGTCGTCAGTCAATATTACAGGAACTAAAATTGAAAATATAATTTTAGGCTGTAGCACATTCTGTGTGTATTATTCATTCAAATATGTTCTTAAAAAAAAGGCTACAGCTGGTATACATAGATGAGACCTCTTCTGCAGTATCTTAAGGTCAATGATCCATAAAGTCTTATTAAAATTCTTACTACCAAAAGATCTTTTGTAATAACTAAGTTTTCCATTATACTGCCAAATTTTCTATAAACTCCATTTTTGTTTGTATGAAACTCGCTGGTTAAGCTAGGGTATATTAATCTTAACAGTGAACATTGTTAGCAATAATAGAAACATCAATCAGTTCATGCAGCCACCAACATTGGTTTACACGCTGACAAAACATGGCAAAGGCAAAATATTTATCAAAGATTGTCATAAATTGAAAACCTCTTACAGACGTCCCTCTTTAGACAGATATTTTATATAACACAGTTAAAAGCTAACAGATCACATCATAATACAGGGTTGGGAAAAATGGTTTAAGCAGTTTGACTTGTGTAGAACTCTGGCTAACACAGGTATTGTTGTCATCAGTCACTCATACCATTTCAGTAGCCATCACGTTTTAGACCAGGCAACCTTGAGGTTATGCAGTATGCACTATGTGTGGATTTACAAAAGAATAAGTTAGTGGTAGACGCAAGTAGATTTTTTGCAGACGCGGATTTATTCCATGACACGACACTGTTCATAGTTGAAACATAAAACAAGAGTGGGTAAACAATGTGGAAGAAAGCGGTATCATTCTAACACCAAGAAACATGGACAACCAAGTTCTAAGAGAACACTGACGAATGTTGAGTTGTAAGAGCAGCAGGGATAGTTGAGTAGGTATAGTCTACTGGATATTCGCCTCATGCCAAACCATGATGGCTACCGGTACTGAAATGGTATGAGTGACCGATGCCAACAAGACAAAAAGTGTCCACATATACAGTATAACCTATACAGCCGGAGTTCTACACAAGTGAAACTGCTTGCTTTATCCATTTTGTCGACCCTGTATATTTTAATTACTGTCATTTCATGATTTTATATTTATTTATCAATATTTTGATTTAATTGATTTAAACAGCAATATTCTGTACATTTATTTGCAATAAAAGTCCAAGAATTATGTTTGGTTATAACATCACGACAGTAGAGTATAAAGTTGTGGAAACATCCAAATAAGAAAACAACAAGAAAGAACAGTAGAGTAAATAAATTAACAATCTTGTCTTAAGAAAACATACACTTAGTCTGAACACTCATATTCACCCAGTTCAAAACACTGCTTTCATAATTACACAAATAAGTAAGATTGTAAAAAAAAAATACTGTACACACAAACCTGCACTGTAAAACAAAAATCCTTATCTATTTCTTTTCTGTTGCTGTAAAAATATACACGTCATTATGAGAATCATTGTCCATCCATGTCTATAACACACATATTGATGTAACAGACTTACTCCTGTACAGTCCAGAAACATTGTGTACATTCAGTAGCGTGACAAATAGCAAGTCTACGAGTCCACCAGGATGTGCCATCTGCAGATCTGTTCTCCCCGGACCTGTCTCATATCCTCCCAGTGAGCCAACTCTTCCTCTCCGGAACTGTTCAGCCCCAGAGAGAACCATCCGATCATCTCCTTGCGCTTCATGGACCGCTTGTTGTACACAGCTATCATGAGAGTCACGTCTGGCAACTGGAAAAGAGCTACCTGCAACACAAACAATATTGTTAGGACAACTAAACTTAAAGGTGGGATACAATTTATATGTTTTAATTAAATGATCAATTTAAAAGATAGTTTATCTTATTGTATTACACATTTTGTTTCCAAAACTCTATAAGTATTTATTATTTACACAATCAAGATTACATAAGTATAGTATTTATTATTTAGTATAGTATTTTGCACACCAGAGTGAGGCAGAACCATCATCTAGGTGGTATGAGTCACAGTGGGCCATCAGGATCAAACATGTTTTAGCTAATTAATTGCTCTCTAGTATTTTTTTATTTTATCTTTTTTACGGTGTATGTTTGTAATAATGAATAGTTAAACAACATAATTTAAACCAATTACTTACCCATTCAAGGGAGTGGGTTAGAGAGTGTGTTGTGGTCTCGAGGCACAGTTTTTAATAACATAGAAAAATGTAGTGCTGGATTTGTAAAATATGAGGACTGTAACCTATTTAATGGGATTTGTACCTATTTATGCTAATATTTTTATCTTCCCGAAAGAGAGGTACCAGAACTCCCTTTTCCTCTGCAAATTGAGCACGAGCACTGGCATAAAGTAGTCATGACCTGAAGGGGCAGTTTGTATAGGAAATTAGGACATTTCTGACCACGAGGGGAATTACTCTGAAATAAACCAAGAAATATAGAAATGGAATAGTAGAGATAGAATGCGGCCCAGTAATTATCAGTCTTTATAGTCTATACTTTAATAGTCATTGTACCTGGAACATGAATGTCTCCTTGAAGAGTGGGTTAGGCTGGCCTCGTCTCACAGAAGTTTTGCTACGAGCCATCTCCTGCCCCATACTGCTGACTAGTGTTAACTTGACGTAAGTGTCTGGGGCTCGCGTCATCGCCAGGTTTCTAGAACACCAATTTTTTGTGACCAAAGTGCTTTGTGAAACTCTTTAATCTCTTCATTACAAAGTTAGACTCACACTACAGATAACCAACACTCTTTTGTTCACTTAAAAATAATTTAATTCTGTAGAACCCAATTTATGAGTGTTTCAATGTCGAAATCCGGACATGTATGTAGCTGTAGCATACAATACTTCCACTTTTCACTCATATATTACCTGAAATGGCTGCCTTTAACAATCTCTATGGCAAGACGGCCGGTGGTGCCGTTGTATGCCAGTCCTATCAGCAACTCCGGCACTCCCCCATGCTGCATGGAGTGTGTGGAGCCTGTACTATCACTCCGGGCTAGAGACAAGAGGTCTGACGACGACGTGTTCAACTGTAAACCATCATAAATCATGGTTAACACAAAAAACGTAAAGTGATATTTTACACATTGTTTACAATATCAATTTCTATTTAATTTTAAAACGTCTGTTTAGAAAAATAGAGTATGTAGGTACTGAAGGTATACAAGTATGATTTTTGTATGGTTTTTGTGCAAGTGAGAACTGACTTGTGAATGTTTCCACAAGTATGTTAGCAAACATTTCACAAACTGAGTGGTGAATACTTTTTGCAAACACAGCGCTGGGGTTTTGACATTTTGAATCAAGTCTACCCTAAGGGCTAGAAAAAATGTGTTTCCCAAATTGAGTCTGACAGCTGTTCTGCCTTCTGCCCGCGAATGCACTACCCTCTTGTGCTACTGCACATCTTTTTGTTCAGGTTTTGATTTGCAAAACTGACTGTACAGACTGATATGACACTCACTAATTGACCAAAGCGGTTCATAAAAATTAAAACTTTAATACAGTGTTCGTCCATTTTAGATAAGAAATAAATATTACCAGTACCATTCTAAATTACGCAAACTATAACTAGTCTACAAACCTTACAGTCATCTAACAGTGACTGACATTTCATATAAAAAATACAAATTTAAACTTACAGTAATGTTTGATCGTGGTTCCAGGGGAAGCCACATGTTACTCTCTAACTCCAAATTGACACAAGAGAAGCTCATGATAGTTTCTCCAATCATTCTCTCCCGCCTCATCCTCTCGCAACCATACAGCCTAAGTCGGATGCCCATGCTGTTGACATCCTCTGCAACAGCCCACATTCTTATTGGACTAGCTTAGCAACAGGTCATAAACTTTAAAATTAAAAGAGTATGACTATGAAGGTTAAAATATTTGAGGTATTCTAGCATGCAAGCGCCTGATTGCTACTGAGATTTTGTTAAAGTACATTATTACTGATTGCAAAGGCAATATTAGTGTATCTGGCCACTTGGCTTAGAAGAGTCTTACAACCTCTATGTTTGTGTTTGTGATCTTATGAGGCAGAATTGAAAACATTGATTCTATTCTAAAACCATATCCACCTCTAGTATATGTATACGTATTACTAGTATACGTGTTACTAGAGACGGCTATGATAAAACACATTCTGTATTTATTTTTTTATTTTTTTTAATTTATAGCTCAAAAGATACTTTTATAAGTTGACTAGCTGTGTGCCCGTTCTACGCACGGGGTCTTATAGTAGTCAGTTGAAACCTTCTTATATTAAGAACAGCAGTTTTTTTTTTATATTAGTGTATGCTTTGCTATGTTTTAAACATACTGACCTGGATTTACTCTATGAAATAAAAAGCTTTCCATAAACTGAGGGTTTTCTCCATGTCGAATCTTACTTTTGTGCTTCTGCTTCTTGCTTGGAAGAAGTAAAATTCTGACCTGCAAATATATTTAAAAATCATATATAGATGCAGCTTTCTGTGTATCTGAAGTTTTTTTTTAATCCTGCAGTTATGTACTTAATCTTTACAACAGGGTCTGTAAGGTGCCTTCCATTAAGTCAATTATTTCTTATTAAATTAACTCTCATATCATTAGTTCACTCAGTTCAATGGTATTTTTTTATTCAACTATTTACGTTTTTCTTGACAGGTACATGTGTAGCTATTGAGAATTCAATTTTTTACAATCTAAATAAGAAGTGTGCTTAACATTAATAAAGTTGAATTAAACAAATTGCAAATCAATAGATTTCAATAACTTTCCCAGCCACTTCAACACGTCTGTTATTGTACACTCAAGGTTCATTTTAAACCTAGGGAACTAATAACTAAATTAATGACTATTGTAAAGTTTATGTTGTTGTAATTGGTATTAATATCATAGTTCTAGCACTGATTAGTGAACTAAGTTTGATGGGTGTTTGTTTATTTCGGTCTGAATTTTACAAACCTACACTACCAAAAACACAGAATATGTGCCTTGTCAAAAGATTAAACATGTTTGTGTTTATAGGTTATACCATTTCACAATATTTTGCAAGGGTTTTGTGCTGTGAGGGATGTTAGTTAGTGGTCCCACCTGAGTGTGAGAAGCGCCGCCACGGTCCTTGGCCGGAATGTCTCGAGCTTGCAACACGTGTACAGTCATCTTGCGCATGGGAGCATCGTAAGCAAATGCAACTTCTACAGCTCCACATCGCGCCATGTCCACTGTGCCCATGCTCTGTAGATCCGTCACATCAAACAACGGCTCCTGCCCCACCACCACTATACACTGCAATGTCACACAAGATTTTTCAACTACACATTTACTTAGGACTAGTACATTTGAACTAGGGGATTGTGGAATTGTATATATAAAGCCATGAGCAAATAAGCTGATTCTCCTAGTTGGTACCAGTGGTTCCCACATCTTTTGCTAGCAGAGTTGCCATGTTAGTGCTAACTCCAATTATATATCTAGCTCGATGCTTATTTTTCTGTGACATTCTGTATAATGACAACAAGGTTTATCTGCAAGTTTGGCATGGCCATCACTTTTCATGAGACTCCCCGGTTGATAAAAGTAGTTTTGATGATCTTTTTAGCAAAAACTATTAATGTAATCCTATTTTATCTGTAAATTTATTCGCTACTGATTATCAGTTGAAGTTTTTTACACTCTGTATATTTTATGTTGGTTCACAATCTATTTGAAAGATATCAAAACCTTAAGTAAATATGAGTCTGTTCAGATGGAATTTGGTTGGTATATTCAAATAGCTATGTTACCCCATACAGTAATCTAGTTCAATTTATAAAGAACTGACAAACTATGTGTTGTTGTAATGAGGTTCAGATCACTTAAGCAAAACCACAAACCATTTTATAAAACTAATCATCACTCTGTAATTTTTTATACAAAATGCTTTCAATCTACTTTTTTGTATTTCACAATTATTGTGTTATACTTATTGATGGTATGGTCTAGACTACAAGGATTTACTAAAGTTCGAGAAGTGCTTGCAAGGAGAGGACTTGTTAAATACGCAAGTACTTGCTACTTGTTACTTGTACTTTGCTGCAAGTAATTTTCTAGGTCTGTGATTGGATTGTTGTGTATCTTGCAATGTGACTATCTATATACACCTGGTGTATTGTGTAATGTCTATAAGTGTATACTAGCACAGACAATACTCTGTGATACCAGTCATATAATGAATTAAATTAAAATTAAGATACGACTTTTACCTACGACCGTTTTTTAAAGTAGCCATTTCAGTCCAGTTCTTAGAATTGAAAAGTTTCACTTTACAGCTGTTTACTTTCATATCCGCATAGTTTCATTTCATATCCGCATAGTTTTCTCATATCCACACAGGTAACGGACCAATGAGGTTCAAGTATTGAGAGAAAAGAATTAAAATTGTAATGCTTCGAACGTCAACTAATCAGCTGATCAGCTGATCAGTTGACCAATTTAATTGTTGATCCGACATGTTCATGTTGATACTCGCGTATTCTTAATTAATTTGGTGGAAGTCCAAAAATAAATGAAATATTTGCCGAATTGTACCTGATACAATATTATTTATGGTAAGAATGCTGCTAGCAATGTAATATTTAACGAAGTTTAACAAACACGTAATTACAGGAAATCAGCTGATTATACAACAAGTCTTTGCATCACTTTCAGTGGCAATGACAATACACGAAAACATAACCTCTCTAAAAAGTTATCATTAGTGATTGTTAGTAATTAAATCCAGATTGATAGTAATTAAAAAACGGTCGTAGGTAAAGTAGTGTACGCAACTCGCGTTAATAGTCTTGACGACACTCGTAGAAGTTTTTAAGGCACTCGCCAAGGCTCGTGCCTTAAATTTTCTACTCGTGTCGTAAAGACTCACTTAAGGGGAGTCGCTACTGAAACTAGTGATTTTTAATAAAATCCTTTTAAAAATTATCATATATACTTTTTTAAGTTCATTTAGTCTTAGAAAAAGATTTACTGCCGTTAAAGTAAAAAAAAAAGATTTTTTACATACTTTTTGGAGTTTTTTAAGTTTTTTGGCGGGAAAAAATGGGGTTTTTTAAATCTCTTATAACTATTTAACTACTGAACCAATTTTATTGTTCGATATCTTATTTTAAAGAGCAAGGAAAGCACATACTTTCTGTGCATACTCATGTTATTTTCTCAATTAGTTTATAAGTTATGGCTTCAAAAATAAGTTTTTGAAAAATTTATAGGTTATAAATTTTTATAATTTTTTTTTCATGTACTTTTATTTACCCAATTACAATATCCATGCACAGAAAGTTGATTTATAGTATAAACAATGTGTGGTAAAAATTTCATTCATATAGCTGCAATAGTTAAAAAGTTATAAGAACTTTTATATAAAAAAAAACAAAATTTTAAAGTCGTGGAAAACAGCGGTTGAAGTTTATACGTTGGTTTATACTAGGCCTAGTTGATGCCCCAAAAGAGGTGTGCGCGCTTCACTTCAAATATTTTTTTCACAGTGAAAAAAATATATATTATACCAAATGTTATGTTTTTCTGAAACCTTACAATCCATAGAACAAGATAAAAAAATAATAAAAAAAATCTAGTTTTTTACAAAATTGGTAGTTTTTCAGTAGCGACTCCCCTTAACGCAATCGTTGCGTAAACTACTATTACATTAGAGTGATAGTAAAATCAGCAAGGATAAATATCAAAATTAAGATTTTTACAAAAACAATACAACATACCACCAACATTATATTCTGCTTTCACTGTTGTCTGTTGACTATTAAGCTGTTGAATGATTTTCATATAATATGTACCTTTTAACCCAGTTATTGTAAATTAAAAAATCCTAATCCAGTACTCCAGAAGTCAATGAAGGACCTAATTAGTACCTCATAAGTAAGTCATACCTAATTATTGATTGTCGCAGGACTCCTGCAGAATATATAGTTTCTTATTGTTCAATTCTTGATCATTGGGCTTTTAATAAATGGACCTGGCTAATAACATCTGGTCTTAGTTAGTTTAAAGCTACACAAGGCATCTCACTTCGTTCTACACGCATCCTTCACTCATATTTGGCCAATACACAACTAGGTGGCATCCCCATCTCAACCGGTAATTAATAGTAATTAAATTATTTTTATGAATAATTTAAAATTAAAAGTATGTTCCACATTCACAAGTAGCCGACACAGGACACAGGTTGTGAAACAGCCTGAGAAAATCCATAACTGTAACTGTTTTATCTAGGGACTGCTGTGCAAGACAGCCTTTAAAAGATAAACTCTACTGCTAGTAGGTGCATTTCCATCAGGCAATTGTCAAAATGGAAACGGAAATTCAAGGAAATGATTTGTTTTTTAATAGTTTTTACATAGGTGGATATCGCTTCATGTGGATAAATAATAATTTTCTGGAAGAGTTGAATGACATAAATGCGAAGTCTAAAAATATTTTAACTTCAGAGGACTAACATCTTGACTGTTGGTGTTGGAGACTAGAGGTGCGATTTCTTCATCTACGCTAGTTTGCTTGTGATAGCTGGGTCTGCGATTGTCTCGATGTCGCATGCCATGACTGTCGTCCTCACCACTCGTGGTGCTGCAACTGGAACTGGCACTGCTGCCTGCTCGACCCACCTTGCCCTTTTCTGCCAAGGACATCAGATCTGCTCCCTTTGTAGGTCCTGTCTCTGTAACATCACATCACTATCATGTAGTGACACAATCATAGGTTGTACTGTCGTCTGATTGACCCACCTTGCCCATCTCTGTCAAGGACATTAGATCTGCTTTCTTTGTAGGACCTGTCTTTGTAACATCATATCATGTAAGTTATATTATATAATCTATTAATATTAACATAACATAAATGTTTACATTTAAAATATTTGAGTCCCCCCCTAAATCCCCCCTTTTTGGGGGACACTCAAAAATTTCAAAATCATAAAATGAAACTTTCTGCTAAGATTGTAGGATCACCAAAAGGATATCTCTGTATATATTTACTTGGGAAAATATTAGATTTGGGGTCTTAACTTTTCATTCACCCTGTAGATAATTAATTTATTTTATAAATCCACTAATTTTGGTTTAGATATACACTGCACAACCTGTTATCTTGAATGTTGATTTATACAATTTTATTCTTTTCTGTAAGTTTTGGTTAACAGCTTCTGGACTTGGATAACAAAACTATTTTTCGTCAGAGGCTACTGCAGCAAAAACAACCGTTTTTTAACAATCGTAATATGTATCGTATTATTAATCGAAATTATTTATCGATTAATTTATTAGGTAAGGTGTTAGCCTATTGTTAACAATCGCTCAACATATCGATGGTTCAATGTACTGTAACACAATCGTAATGGACGAAATGAATTATTGAATCAGAATCACATACTAAACAGCTGCTTATTTGCATTAGTTGAATTGTAAACAAGCTGGAAGTCGTTTTTAGAGGTTATCCTTATATAAAAATTATCTTGTTTTCTAGCTAAGTTTGTTAATTATTGATGCAATATGACGAAAAATATAGTTCACCACACGGGCAAAAAGTGTATTTAAACCCTCGCTCATTTTCCGGCCTCGGCTTCGCGTCGATCGTAAAACTTGACCTCGGGTCGAAAAGAGCCACTTTAGGCCCCAGTGATGAAATATACTGCTATTTCAGCTTCGTATTCAATGACTTAAATATTAATAGTAGTCATTGCTAAATAATTGCTAGCCTACTGTAATAGTAAACATGACTAAATTTATAAAAGAAACAATGTAGATAAGACATGATCAATAGAAAGGGAAATGCAAGGATGCTCAAGAATAGTTACAGCGTTTACTGTACCTTACTGGTAAACTGCATGAGAAAGTTATAAGAAAAATACTGTCCCAAATACTTTAGATAATAAATAGCAATGCAACATATACATGCATTTTCAGGAAAATGGAAGCAGATAAATATCTATATCATAAATAAAATAAGCATCCTGTATTTAAATGTAAATTTCTGTTTCATAATTGTGTATTATCATTGTATTTATTTATACTGTTAGTATTTTATTTGCTTTTGTTCATAATTTGTATCCGTGTTTGAGTGTTAAATGTATTTTTGTATATTCACAACAACAAGACGTCCCAATAATTGTATGATACAAAAGAGGCTTGACAATGAAACTGCTGTTTCGAAACTAGTCGCCATAGACTAATTTTAGGATTAATCTTGTAAGGTATGTATAAAAAAACTAATTATAATGGAATAACATTTAGGCCACAGCCCCCCAAACATTTTCAAAATTCGGTGATTTATTAATGTGTAAAAGTTTAATTGAATAATTAGTAGGTATAGTGATTTGTCTGGACTAAACAATGCAACAATTACTTATGTGTTTAGCATATGCTTTCCTACGTTCTCAAGCACTGTAACTAAGTCTAAGCGCAGAAAACATACTACTATAACCCAGAATGCCAACTGCATGGTAAAATGCGTTAAGTACTTTGAGAGAGCTTTGCGGTTATAGTAGTATGTTTTCTGTGGTCTAAGGTCGAAGCTTGATCTACTTCTTTAACAATTTAAGCAACCTATTACACAACTCAAAATATATCATGAAACTTTTATTAGAACTATCAAATAAAGAACTACAGTATACGCATTGCCAAGTCCTCAGTTTAGAGTAGCATGCTCTAAAATCTACTAATGTAGGTTTTACTACAGGTTCAGGCTTAAAATGAAAAAAAAAACAAAGCAATGTAGCCCAGTGGTGGGTTGATAACACTTTGTCTAGGGTTTAGTAGGGTTTTAATTATTATATTTTTTTTATATCGTCACTTATTTTTTAAATATATTTGTTTCACTGCAGCTAAATTACAGTATATTTGATTTCATGTGTTGGAAATATCAATGTTGGAAACAATAATTATAATCTGTTATGAAATTCCATCTATTGTAAGGGATGGCACCTGTTATTTTTATGACAGGTGCTGAAGAAAGATTATCAGAAGTTCTTGATGGTAAATTTGTGTAAGGATTGATGAGTCACAAAATCTCAGGCAGCAAAAAATGTTGGTCTTTAAGATTACATTTGATTTGGGTTTTCTCTTCACGGGATAGGATTTTCCAACCATCAGTGATGTTACGCCATCGCGAGTGACGATGATGACATCATTGACATCCCTACAATCTCAGGAGATGTCTTCAGTATAGAGATGACCACGACTCCACGATCGCAGGACATGTACTGGCAGATATTGTCGTGAACAAAGCCAAGACGGGCTGAGTTGATTTATATAAGCCCATCACAAGTAAAATGGTACTTTAAAAAGCACGAGGTTACAATAAACTTAAATTTTGTATAAGGTGGTTGTTTATTTTCATATAAACAATGTTCATTGTGAACCAAGATTTTGTACTTCTGAGCCGTTAAGCTATTTTTTCAAAATTCTCCTATCCCCAACTATATACAGAAATTTAGTTCTTTTTTTGTCATACTTCTTGGTAGTGAATGTATATATGTTTGTGTGTGTACACTTACGCCTGTGTGAGGGCCCCGGGGTCGTGGGGTCAGGTAGTAGTCTGGACGTCTGGAAACTCTGGGAGTGTTGTAGTCTCCGCAGTACATCCTCCTCACTGTCCGAGCTGGTGTCTGGGTCCACACGATACGCCTTGCCTGGGGAACAGTCAACACCACTGCCAACGCTCAACACTTTCAAACATGTTAGTCACTTTTATCTCGTGAAAAAGGTTTAGGTAACAAATAATCCATTGTCATGGGTGGAAGGGAATTAAGAGGTAATTAAATTTATAAATGTAATAAGGTCTTTTAAATTTTAGTCAGCTCAATGTGTTCAAAGAAATTAATATATGTGTAGTCACGTTCTGTAACTTAATACATAAACAAAAATAAAACAAGTTAGAATAATTAAACTCAACAAGAAATGTTGATAAATAATAAGTCCTGTTAGGAAGAATGATTTCTTGTAAGGTGTCACACGATCGACTCAGCTGCTTGTGTTTTTTCAGTAAACAGAAATGCAAAACAACAAAAGCAAGAACCTTTTCAATGGGTAGTGTAGAGTATACAGTAGGCATTATTAAAAATGTGATAGTATTATTTTTTCACAAGTATCATTTTTACGTTGTTTGGTAAAAAATCGTGTATACACAAAAAAAACTACCTACATATTTTTTACACCTTAATCAAATAGTTATGTCTTTTAGACGACCATAAACGATGTTGTAAGGTGTAATACAATATATAATAATTGATTGCAGAGGGGAAGATCATTATTCCTCCAGACCCCTGAGGAAATTTCCTGCATGCTCCTTTCCTCAGCTATTAATCTATTCCTAATAGAAATGTGATTACTGCACATCATCTCTGAAGTGAAGTCTCAATCATTTTAATAAAATCTAAACCCGTTCTAATTTTAATTCTAAGCTAGGTTAATGTTAATATAAATAAATGGTGATTTGGCCCTAGTAATTTTCTTTCCTGACAAATGGTTGAGACTAAAGACCATAAAGTTAGGATTTTGGTCCTGATCTCTGTATAAAGGTTGAAAGATTGCTATACTGTATGAAAATACTACCCCTCTCCTACATCACATCAATACTAGATTAATCAGATTGTGGGTCAAAAAGTTCAACTGTCATTCTTTTGCAGATGATACGGAGGCCACAGTTTCCCATTACACAATTGTGGGTTAATCAAACTACAGACTGTCATTCAATAATAAAACATCACCATCACCAATCCTATACTTGGTCAAGAATGTTAATATATGTATAGATATTAATATATTATACAATGCATTAGATTAGTGGCTGTTTATGTACTCGTACTGTTGATAATCTATGTGTATCACTCACCCTAGCTATAAATGTTTCTCATGTATACAAATATTTGAATTCCCCCGAATCACTACCTTGAAAGAATGAATCTAAAACTGTATTGAACAAGTCTCAGGTGAACGTTGTCTGGCAAATTTCCCTCGACTGTTTTTGTTTGAAGACACATGGGCCAGAAGATTAGTTTCATTTCAACAAAACTCAAGGAATCAGCCCCAAGTCTTAATTCTGTAAAGCTATTTGTTTAGAGGAAAACGTGTTTAAAACACTCTCATTGAGTATTAAGTGTGTTGATCTTAATAGGTTAGTTTAATGGTGTAATGTAAGCTATGCATTTATTTGTATGAACATAATATATATATATATATATATATACATATATATATTCCTGTTAGTATATTTAAAGTTAAAATAAATTCAAAAAACGTATAATTAAACATACCATACTATTTCTAACCGAGTCAGTAAATGAGCTTAATTTTAATTCGTCGCTCAAATGTTTTGTCGTTTTATCAGGTTACACCGAAAAGGTATAAGTATACTTTTAGAGTGCAAAATGCAAGGTAATCTACAAAAGGAGTGCATGTCATGCACAAGAGGTGATTGTGAAGGTAGGCTTACAGTGTAGGTAGACTGTGGACTCACCTAGCTCCTTGGCAGAGCTGGAGATGGGTGGCGGGTCGTCACAACACGTGATAGCGTAGAAGCACCATTTCTTATTGAAGTACAAGAAGAATACCAACAACAGCACTAGGAACGCTGCAACCGCGCCCAGGAAAGCCGTCGCCTCAGTAGGCACTGCAACATAACATGATCTAAATTATACAGATGTATAATGAAGTTATCGCTTGCTCAATAGGTGAGTTAAGGTTTCTTATTTTCTGAGAAATGTCTTCAATGATTCGTGGTTGAAGTTTAACGGTATAATTTGAAGAGAAATCTTAAGCCATTTTATTAAGACTTGTGCATTTTAACAACACTTAAAAGCTAACCTCATTAAAAATAAGTTCCTCATGAAAATACTTACCACCACAATGGATTTACAAAACTGTAAGAAAGCTTAAAATGTGGCAAGGACGCCAATGGTGATTTTAAATGTTGGTACAGTATTAGTTTTTTTTTATCTACGTGGGATATATTTTACTTCTCAACATCTTTGCAGTAACTCGAAACATAGTTTAGAGAAATATGTAGGGCATATTTATTTTGGCTATGAGTAATCGTTTTTATTATGTTGCCTGTAGTCTAGATATGCCCTACTCACTTTTGTGAACTACTCTTATAGGGAAGATGTTATACCGTAGGTAGCACGTTGTAAAACTTAGACCCGGGACCGATTTACTTTTATATTATGATGTCCCCAGAGACCATAATACTCTATTTGTTCAAATTTGTACATCTGTACAAATACATACAGACATACTCTATACCTCTATGCCTGTGAACACGAAAGCTCGAGTAATTTTCGTCCTATTTTGATTAAGTTACCATGAACTCGTAACTTGGTTCGTCTCAGAATAATCAAAGTAGTCCTGAAACGCAGCTCACTAATCCCTCATTGACCACAAAATTCCTAGGTGTCATTTTTGATTCCTCCATCAAATGGTATGGTCACGTGCAAAGTGTTGTTAACCGCACCAGTTCTGCTCTATTTGCCATTCGAATTCTCAGTTCAACTTGTAGCAGGGAAGTTCTTGTGGACGTCTATCGTGGATATTGCGAAAGCATTTTGCGTTATGGCATTGCCGTTTGGGGAAGCTCTTCTGATTTGGAAAGAATACTTAAGCTCCAAAAAAAGATTCTGAGGTGCATTTTCGGTCTCTCCCATCGCCATCCTTGCAAGGAAGTGTTCAAAGATTCTGGCATCCTTACAGTAGGCTACATTCGTTGTACATTCAGCAGGTCCTCATTTTGACCTTTGTCAACAGGGGTCAATTTCAACATCTAGGGCATTTCCATGACCACCGGACGAGAAATGGAGGCATCCTCTGTTATCCGAGGCACAGAACTTTGAGAACTTTTATTATGCGGCCTTTGAGAGGAGTCCGTTTTACAGGGGGATCGAATTTTTTAACAAATTGCCTCAGACAATAAAATCCCAAGATTCTTTGTCCCTATTTAAGAGACACTTAAAATATTTTCTATGCTCAAATGCCGTTTATTCCGTCTCAGAATTTCTAAGCCTATAATGTGTATATATGTAGATTCTCATGTTGTATGTTTTAGTTTCAGTTTGTAAATATTGACGATGCATGATATTTGTTACATGTTATTGTATACAAATCTAATGTGCAAATAAACGATTTGATTTGATTTGATTTGATTTGACTCGTAGGGCGGGATAATCTTGATTGAGTCCGCTAACCAGTATTATTGGGCAATAGGAACGGGGCTTCGTAAGGTTTAAAAATCTAAAAAAAATTGGTGTTTCAACATTTTTCACACTTTAAACATGAGTAATTGATGTATGACTATGGAAGGTAAAAAATGTCCCAAAAAAATGTTATTTAAACTCCTTATTTATAGTTTGTTTGTTTATGGATATATTTTGACCAAGTCTGAAAATTTTATTCATTTCATACCATACCGTTAACATTTTATCAAAACTCCCTTTCCCCTTCCCTGTAGCAGCAAACCAAAATACTCTTTAAATCTATAATAGGGAATAAATCAGACTTTTGAGGAAATATATGAGTAAAAATCACAATAGGCAAAATGGAATTTCGTTTAGTCTGCAGGTTTTCTGCGGTGGGGATTTTCTAGGAGGATTAACATTATAATGTTTAATCCTCCTAGGGGGTATTTTAAAATATATTTTATGTGCCGGAACTCTCGATTTGCATTTCGGTCAGTAACTAACCGTGTGACATACGGCTACGGCTTCGATAGTCTTCTAAACGTTGTTTGTTAGCAATATGCAACACTTTCACTGTTTCACTGACATTCGTTACAGCGTAAAGCACGTAAGCGAGAATATTTTATGTGGGGTATTTTATCTTGATATTCACACACAGTAAAATTAACTTCATTTATGAATTAATTTAAAATAGTAAACACGTTGCTCGAAATCGAGCAATTGCAAAGAAGGAAAAGTAGTTATTTAAAACAAATAACAGCAATTAAATTATACAGCTGATCAAAATGTAAACAATTATGTTCTTCTTAAGGATAACATGGGAACTTTAACAGCCACTGGGGCAGAGCCCAAGGGACTTTTTCAAAAATTTAAGGCCAGTTTGCAAATCTACGCGACACGCTCCTTCCAATGAGACGTCAATGGATTAAATCGGTTAATAAATGGCGGAGGAGTTCAACCGACAAAGTTTCATGTAGCGTATTAATTATAAAGACTAGTGAACCTGTGCGGCTCAATGCCCCGCAAAATAACATATGAATTTAGAAAACAAATTCATCCTGTTATTAATATTGACTCGACGTCGAAAATTAAATACAGTAATAATAAAGCCTTAGAAGGGAAGCAGTCCAGTCATTTTCTAGCTGTATGTGTATTATATTTAGTATATTAATAAGTGTTCAAGTTCAAGTGTGTTCCTAGTTATGTGTTAAAGATTTTAAAACACATTTAACAAAACATTTTATCATATCAAACCAAAAGGCCTATGAAGCATATTTTGAGGGTCTTACAATGCTGTTTGAAGAATATACTTTTAAAAATAAACACTAAAAAACAATATTTTTATCACAAAAGCACTTCCACGAATACTACGATTTTAGTCTTAAAGTTACCTTCAGGAAGATTACCCTGGTCAGAATTTTCCGTAATGAATATGCGTATCCTATTAAAAGATGTAGCCTTACTTAAAACAACATACAATATAGTTGCTCATGACTGAAATTGATCTGGGTAAGAACAGTGCTGATCTTTAAATAAAGGGTTTGTGCTGCAAATGCCAAAGATAACATAAATTAGCATCTTTCCATTTTAAAAGGTAACTTAAGTTTGTTTCAGACGGGCACATTTTTATCCTCGAAATCAACATATGTCCCCACTTACTTGTCCCGGTTAAGACTTTACATTCTATTAAGCTGTTAACCATTCTGATCACATGAAGCCTTGTGCCATTAATGAGGCCCTTTTGATGTATTAATATTCCACATCAATAAAACCACTGCCCCCTTTTATTAGTCTAATCTGAGTCTTGGCAATACACTGACCTCTATATTTAAAAACTCAGTTGGATTTTCTGATGGATGTCTCCGCCTTTGTCTGTTTTCGAGGACCCACTCTTCTTCCCCTTGCCATATACTGACAGTTAATTACCTAACTTGTCAAGTTCATGTACTAATTCATTAATACTGTTAGTTTATAAAGAAAATTAGATAAAAGTTACTTGGCTCGGTGCTTTCATAACTGCAAACTCAAAATACACCCAGAAGTAAAAAAGACTCAAGTTATTGGTAAAAAAAAAAAACTATGTTTGTGTAACAACATTATTCACATGAAGTAGATGATTTGTTTGATTTGTCAATCAGCTGTTTTATTTACATAAAACGATTTAATAATGTCAAAGATTTGTGAGTTTAAATACATAAACTATTATAGTAAAGTTTTCTAAATCATGGTAACTTATTCTCAACTAAATTTTACTATTCCCAACATTAAAATAAAGTAGGGCCTATTAAGATCCAACTTTAAGGTACACAATCCTTGATTGAAATGTAGTATACATTAACAGTCATAACACACAGCAATAAATTATTATGTAGTAGACTTTGACTATTTTCAAGTAACAAACATATGTTTCTGTAAATAAAAATCATCTCCCATGTTATCCTTATGGAGAAATGTGAAACTTTAAAGGGCCTCAGGGCCTCACTCTCTAATTATTTCCTTAAAAAGAAAGTTTCCTGCACAACTTCACGTTACGCTCTTTCCAATGACACCAAAAACATGACAATCGGTTTAGTAGTTTCGGAGGAGTAATTGTCACAAAATATCTGCTTGCGTATTAAATAAGTACTAGAGGTCGTCCAGTGGTCGAAACTCGACCAAAAATATGTAATGTACTCACTTATCTATTTTCACCCCACACTATAAATAAAACATGTGATTGGAGTTTCTTTCATTTGTTTTGATTTTCTGTTTATATTTCGTTGTTATTTCGTAACCAGCATAGCAACGCATAAGATCCATGTTAATTTTTTCAAATTTTTAAACTCATTTTTTGTGCTTATCTTTGAGCCTATTTAAATTTATAAAGGGATTCTGCACACCTACAGGAAAATAGCTTTCCAACGGTATGCGTAGATTTTCCCTACGATGCACACGAGCTGAGAAAAAAGGTTTTAAAGAAACATGCTTGCCTATTAATATATAGACTAGTGGTCGTCCTGTGGTCGAAACTCGACCAAAAATAATTAATGTACAGACTTCTCTATTTTCTCCCCACACTGTAAATAACACATGTGATTTGAATTTCTTCCATTTGTTTTGATTTTCTGTTTACATTTTGTTGTTATTTCGTCACCATCATGGCAACCCATATGCTCCATGTTAATTTTTTGAAGTTTTCAAATTAATTTTTTGTGCTTATTTGTTAGCCTATTTTAATATTTAGAGGCATTCTGCACATCTACAGGAAAATATCTTTCCAACAGTATGCGTAGATTTTTTCTGCGATGCACACGACCTGAGAAAAAAGGTTTTAAAGAAACATGCTTGCCTATTAATATATAGATAGATATAGATATAGATATAGATTGTTCTTCGAATTTGTTCTATGCATTTTTATTTGTTTAAACAGAACATATACAAACACACATCAAATATAAAATAA